CCACACATTTTCTTCTCTGAGCTTGTCAGGAGCTGGTGCCCTCAGTGGGAGGTGGGCACCCGGCTGTGCTACTTGCATGCTTCTGCTCCCAGGAAGGAGGCCCCACTAACCGCCACCTACCACTCCCTCCAGGGCTCAGTTACCTCCTGCAGTTGCTTTTACGTCGCTGCTGGCTTATTTTCTTGCCGCACAATCGTAAACCTCTCTCAGTCACCCCCTTTCCAGCTACCAGCCCAGGCTGGCAGGGCCGCTGGGCAAACCCCACGGCTGGTGCAGCATGGCCACCCTTCCTCGAACAGCTCCGAGCCCTGAGATGGCACGCTCTGAACAACAAGAAGTTGTATAGATGGAGACTGTACCAAAGCTGAGTTTTCTAAAGAAATGAGCCGGTCTGGAAGCAGCCACTGGGCCTGGGGGTCCCCGCTACATGCATTATGCTACTTGCCCAGGGGCTGGCTCTCAGCCAAGCTTGCCCCTGTGCGCCAGCATGGGGTAAGGATGGCACCTCTTCACCTCCCTGCTGCCCGCACTGCTCCTCCCACCGCCAGCATCAGTGATTATACATGGGCTTTTAACCACTGCAGTCCTCAGCTGAGCACAGCTGGTAGACTTTACGAAATGCCAGAAGCCCTAAGCACATACATGTGGGATATGGGCACACCTCACCGGGGAGAAACCTGCCGTGGCAGCCAGGATGCTCCTCCTTGGTGCACAGAAGGAGCAAGGGCAGGCAGGATAAATAAAGGGGGGCAACAGAGAGCTGGGAAGGAGGGTGAAGAGATCAGCTGTACTCTCCAGAGATGCACACCCGTATTTCTCTGATTTTGCCTCCTCCTAAGGAAAGGAGATAAGAGAAATCAAGTGTCTGTGACAGATGTTAGTCACGCTGCCTCACGTGCTACTGAAGGGTTCTTGGCAGTGCGGGGTGGGAGGGGGAGCAGAAAACTCTATGCACAGTAAGAAAAAATTAACCACTTTGTCCCACTCCTCAGCTGGCAATTATGACTTTTCCTTGTCCGGTATAGGGCATTTTGACAAGCTCTCCCAGTTACCAAGCCTAGGCCAGCCCTCTTCTTGGGGGAGACTCTTGGTCTTATTTCTTTCTAGGCAGCATGCAGAGAGGAAGGAGAGCCGAGAGGCTACAGGGGTCTCTGGGCCAAAGAAGAGGCGAAAGAGACGTTAGTGCCAGGCCAGAGTTCCTCTTCCAAGGCATAAGATTGAATACATTTGCTGCGTTGCAGAACGAGGAGAGAAATGTCACCTTCAGAGGTGATCTGACAATCACAAAAATAAATTACATAGAGGAGGGGGGGGGGGGGAGAGGGAGCGGAA